TTTTAAGTCAGCTCGCAGGGCGACAGTGCAAAGGGGGGCACGTTCATCGCCATCTGGACGGGGTCATATCAACAGAAAATCTCAGATCTACCCCTCGAAGCTCTTCCAAGCCTTCGCCAGCGCCGTGATGCGCAGCATTCGCGAGCAGGAGGGTCATCCCACCCTTCTGGAAATGGCCGAGGAATGCGGGCCTGAGCTTGGGGCGTCTCAGGGCGGGGTCGAGGCGTTCCCAGCCGATGATGGGGGCCCCGGGGGGCCCGAAGGTGAGACCGAGGAGGCCAGGGCGAAGGGGGGTCCTGTGGAACACGAGGTGGACATCAACGCCCCCATGATTTGTCACATAAAAACCGGATTCACACGGCCCATGTCAACCTCGGGCACCCGCAGAAAGAAACATTCCTGAAGGTTACCGGGCATCTCCGCTCAGTGGCGATGCCGCGCGCGTTTCAGTTCAACAGGGCCATGGCGGCCGACGCTTACTTTTTAAGCCATGAGGAAGAGTCCGCTCCGGTGCTCAACTGCTTCTGCCACGGTACTAATCTTCAGATCGTGGATGTGTACGATGGTACCCCGGAGGGGGCTTGGAGAGCCTTTCTTTGGGCTTGGGTTCGGCCCTTTGGGCCGCCCGAGATGCTTCTGTCCGACGGCGGGCCAGAATTCAAGGGGCACTTCGAGCGGGGAATAGAGCATCTAGGAATCTTTCACCGCGTCATTGACGCGGAGAGCCCCTGGGAAAACGGCAGATGTGAAAGAGCGCGGGGGGCGGGTGAAACAGATTTTGCTCAGAGCTTCGGAGATTTCCTTGATCACCGGCAGGGCCGAGCTGGAGTCGCTTCTCCATGGGGTCGTGGCCGCCGAGAACCGCTACCTGCACGGAGGCGGATGCGCGCCGTTTCAGCTCGCGCATGGGATCAACCCAAGGTTGCCGAACGACATGCTGTCCGACGACGGCATGCGTCAGGTCGGGGAAGGGGATCTGTCCCAAACCGCTTGGGACCAGGACACAGCGGCGTCCGCTTACTCTCGTCAACATGCCATTCGGGATATGGCGCGACAGGAGCTTTTTCGCTCATCCAGTCGGCGGAAACTGGCGGAATTTCCGAGGGGAGCGTCTACTGGGACTCCAAGGTGCATCCCGGACAGTGGGTCTTGGTCTGGAGGGGGGCCCCCGTTTCGTCCAGCAAAAAGACGTACGCGCTGCAGCGCGATAGGCGGGCGGGGCCGGCCTGGTGCTTGTGCAGTCTTGGGGGGCCGCTTGGGCGGCGATGAGGAATCAATCGCCTCTGGAAGTGTTCGTCGGAACGAGTGCGTTTAGCGACGTCGCCAGAGGCTCAGGGGGCCGAGGTGATGTCTGACCCAGGGGTCCACAGACTCTTTCGGGAGGCCCAGGTGGGACGAACCGGGGCCGGGGTCAACGTGGCCTCGGAGGGGCCTCCTCCGCGCGAAGCCTGGGGGCCTGGTCGCTGCGTCGAGGTCGACCCCTCTCCCGTGGCTCAGGAGCCACTCGCCCCTCCAAGGCCTTCATTGTCCGCTCCGGGGGGCAACGTTCAGCGTCCTGCCCCACCTCCTGGGCCACCTCCCATGCCCGAAGAGAGGTCAGTGATTTCCGGTGCGCCGGAGCCACCCAGCGAGACTCGGACTCTTCCTCCCTCGGTGGATAGGTCTCGGTCTCGGCCAGCCAGCTCACTTTCGGAAGACCGGACGGAGGAGAGGCCACATGCCCGTGACTATTGAGAGCGAGGGAGCGAGCGCTCCTCTTGACCTCGGATCAGGCTCGGCCTGTCCAGGTTCGGGTGTCTGGCTCTGAGCTGCCGGGGGCAGCGCCGCAGCCTTCCTTGAGACGCTGGCATTCCTCCGCCAGGACCCCCAGCAGCTGCGACCCAAAGTGCCGGACAAGTCCCAGAGTTCCCAGTCGAGAGCGGCGCCCAATAGGCCCGGGGATTATGGACGGGACAGTTCTATGGAGCGAAATTCTCGATTTGGGAGCGCGCAGGACCGGCGTGCGAGCTTTTGCCCGCGGAGAGGACTTCCGGGGCATCCTTGCTGGTCGGGCGCGGACTCAGGTCCGTGAGCTCGAGGGGCAGCAGCCTCCTCGTCCCAGGTCTCGGCCCCCTGTTCCAGTGGTTAGGGGTCGGGGGGTCGGCATGGAAGACGCCCTGGAACCCTCCCCAGAGCTGCAGGACGCGGAGATGAACGCGCTTCTTGAGATGAGTGATGAGGAACTCGTCACCTTTATGGTGGGCCTGGAGGAGGCCCTGGAACGAGAAGGATGGAGTGGGGGCTGGGTTCAATACTTCACTGGTAATGCTGACGTGATGGTGTCGACAGACGAAAATGCCAGGGGAGTATCTCAATCTTTCCTGGTTCATCGTGGATGCGAGGTGCGCCGGAAGGATCTTTCCGCTGAAGAGCGACGGGGGTTCTCGACCTCAGGTCTGACCGAATGGGGAGGGATCGTGGCCACCAAGTCAGTCAAAGTGCATGCTCCAGCTGAAGGCAAGCAGCTGAAGGCTCTTTCCCAGTCGCATCGTGTCTAGTAGGATGGTCCGTAGGTGGAAGCCTACCGGAGGGGTGGGGCCCAGGCCCAAGGCCAAATCTCGCTGGTGTGTCCAGGGCCATCAGGGCGAGGACGCCGCCGAGTTGCAGGTCTATGCGCCCGCTCCGTCTGTGGAATCCCTCATGTTTTTTTCTCGTGGTCTCTTTGATTTGCGGCCTGGAAGTGCGCGCGGGCGACATCAAACATGCTTTTTGTCAGTCGGGCCCCCTGACACTCCCGCGCGGTCGCGACTTTGTGGAGCCATGTGAGGGGCTCAACCTCCCAGCAGGAGCTCTCGTAGAGCTCGCTGCCCCGGTGCATGGGCTCGATGATGCGCCCCTGGCGTTCCACGAGACGTCCGCCCGGTTTCTAGAAGGTCGGGGTTTCTTTCAGGCCGAGCTCGAACCACATTGGATTGCTCAGAGAACGGGGTGTAAGTTGATCGTCCAGGTGCTATTGGAGGCCGACGATTGGGCCATTGTTTTCGTTCCACGTCACATGCACCAATGTTCGAACGAGTTTGGCAAGCGTTTTACCTTCGGAAAAATGGAGAAGATCGACGAAGAAGGGGCCGAGTATATAGGTAGGCGTTTGCGGCTGATTGGCCAGAGCGCTTCCTGTCCCCGGATCTTTGTGGACCAGGAGAAATACATCTTGGAGCAAATTTACAAGGTGCCGATGTCCCTGGGCCGACGGGGCGACCATTCGAATCCGCTTGTCGGCTCGGAGGTGGCGGAATTCCGGAGCCTCGTTTACAAGCTTCACTGGGTCGGAAGGGAGTCTCGAGCGGAAGATGCGGGGGTTGCGTCCATCCTCGCCACCAAGGTAAATAGTCCTCGCGTGAATGATCTCCCCGAGGCTCACAAGATGGTGGGCCACCTTCGGTCCACCGCCAGCGTGCCAGTCGTGGTGCGCCTGTTCGACCCGAACCGCTGCAGTTTTACCACCGCCAGCGACTGCGGCGGTGTCGGGGCGGACCATTGCCCTTTTCCCCAGCAGGCGCGGCAGGTTGATCTCGCCGACAATGCACTGGCGCATGGTTTGAGGGCACGGGCCACGCCCCTAGCTTGGCGATCGCGTCGCGTCAAGCGTCAAGTCGCGAGTGCGGTCGCCGGCGAAGCCCTTGCTCTTTCCGGGGCCCTCGCGGAGGCTCAGTGGTCGCATCTCATGTATGAGGGCGCGACCCGAGGCAACGTCGTGTCCGAATCGTGGCAGGGCCAAGCGGGTCCGTTCGCGGCCCTGCTCAGGGGGGGCTGCGAGCTCAAGCCCCCGTCCGACACCGAGTGTCTGAGCATTGTTGACGCCAGGGGAATTTATGACAGTCTTAGCAAGCTTTCGAATGGATCCAGATCGGATCGTCGGGCTGCTATTGATCTGGCCGTCGTTCGGGATATCATGAAAAAGGTCGGAAGTGTTACCGGGTGGATGCCCCGCCCCCTTCTTCCCGTGGACTGCATGAGTAAGTCCGATGTGGCCAAAACCAATGCGGCTCATTTCGAGCTGCTTCGGTCCGGGCGTTCGCGGCGGTCTGCTGTAAGCGGCGCCAAGGGGCGTCGCAGAGAGGGCCCTCGCAAGAAGGGTCGGTCCCGAGCCGAGTCTCAGAGGCAGCTTCAGCAGCGGGAAAGTGAACCCAAGGCAAGTGCTGTTTCAAGATTGCCTCAGGCCGAGTGACGCCCGTCACGAAGGCGAGACAATATTCAGGTGCGTTACGCCGGCTGTTTGAACCAACGCGGACTTGGCTTCGCTCAGAGTGGCGTGCCAGGACGAGGGCTCGAAGCCCCAAAGGAGCGCGCCCCTCCCATTTCAAGGCAAGATGGCAGCAGAGTTGAAGCCGATGGTACGACTCCTCCTCTTGTTTATGAGCGCTGACTAAGCGTACCTCTTGACCTATCAAGCTCAGTGTTTGTCGGGGCGTTGTGACATTCGAGTCTAGAGGCCCGTTCGTTAGTAATGAGGGCCGTCTCACTAGACTCCCTGAGCTTGAGGGTCATGAGTGAGGGGTTCGTACCATTTTGGCTCAAGACCCGCCTACTAATTCCTCATTACTTCCCAAACATACTATCCTATCCTTTCTCCTTTCCATACTGTCCCACCTGTTGTCTTGCGACCGCTCTGTTCAGAGCGGCGCTGTCAGGACTGTGCAGTGCGTCTGGCCGTGGAGGTGGAAAACCAGACATCCTCATCCTCCCCGCTGTCGTCCGTGGGGCGACAGTTCGGGGGGTGGGGGGGGGCTGGTTTTGTTTGGGGGGTCCCCTGGTGTCTAAATCTCTCCCTTGTGAATACTGGCTAAAAAGGTAGCCGACGGTGGATCGCGCTACCTCTATCATTCCATCCGTGGCGATGCAGCCTTTTTGGACGCACGCTCCGATTCGGCCGAACGTCCCGGTTCGATGCCGACCGATTTTGCTTGCCCGTAAGCGAGGTTCGTTCTCGCGCAACGCGCGGGGCCGCCTTGCTGCGCCAGGCGGCGTGCTTCTCGCGGTGGAGACCCCCGACGGCGAGGACGTCTGGTGCCTGGTGAGGAGGCCAGACGACGGCGGGGCGTCCGCCGAGGCCAGCAGCGAGGCGACCGCGCGGGCGGTCGGGGTCAGAGGATGAAGCAGTGGCTACGCGTCTGGACTTGCCTATAGGCCCACCAAGGAGAATGTTCCAGTGACGCCCTGTGGTTGGTACGACATGTTCTTAATTCTGGCTGCGGTAGTCTAGTCTTGACAGTCATAGCATTGTTAGGGCATGTGTTTTAATCCGAGAATGTTGTGGTCGTTTTTCCTGTTCCTGGGCGATAGCGGGGTTACCAAAGTGGGCGGAGGAGGGCGGAGCCGGCAATGTCATGTTTCGTGCCAGCACCGTCTGGGAATGTCGACGAATATCAAAAACAATTCGGACGTCAGCACGAATCGTGACGTTATCTGGGGGGCGTAGGGGGCTTGGCCGTGGCCAGCAATTTTTTTATCGCGACATGTACACAAACGCTTTCGTGGTAGGCCTACAAGATTGCCAGGTCGGTCGGTCCCTGCTCAAGAACGGGGGATGGGTCAGCGTACGGGTCGGCAGAGCCTCTTCAGAAGATGCCCGGAAAGCACGAGGCGGCAGTTCCACGGCTGATTGATCAGGTAACTGCGGGGGCAGTTCCAGTGGCACACGGGCAACCACCTCGGAGCTTAGTGTTGGCCAGGCTGATTTCATGCTCCCTAGGCAGGGTCTGGGGACCTTATCTGTCCACGAATGTGTGGTCTTTTCCTGTATCCGCCATGGGGTCGACGTAGTTTCAGCGTCGATTCGATGTGGATTCGACGCGGATGGTGCCGCGGTGGGACAGGCGAGGCCCCACAAAAATGCAGCATGACCAAGGACCAGGCCCCGTTGCCAGGCATTGCCCTCAAAACGTGGCTGCCTCCGGCGCCAGAGGGCGGCGGGAGAGCCAGCCGCATGCAACGCGTTCGCTCACCCCCCAGAGGGGGCGCGATGCAGGGGGAGCCTGCTGCAGGGGGAGCCCGTCAGGGGCTGGCAGGGGTCCATGCAGGGGATTGGGGTGGGGAGGGAGGTGGAGGTTGAAGAGGGAGGGAGGGAGAGAGGAGACGAAGAAGAGGGCGAAAAGGGGAAACGGAAGAGGAGGAGGAGTAGGCGGAGGAGAAATGAAGTGGGGAAGGATGTTGATGTTGCAGATGATGTTGATGATGATGATGACGATGATGATGATGATGATGCTGATGACGATTATGATGATGTTGATGATGTTGCTGCTGATGATGATGATGACGATGTCGATGCTGCCAATGCGCGTGATGATGCTGCTGATACTGCCGAGTGTGCTGCTGCTTCCTATGCTTTTGACGATTGTGTTGAGAAGTATTGTGATGATGACGAGGATTGTGATGATGACGATGGTGGTGATGATGATGCAGATGATGATGATGATGGTGATGATGATGATGATGATGATGATGATGATGATGATGATGATGATGATTATGCAGATGCAGATGCAGTTCCTATTGATGGTGATGACGACGACATGGATTATGCTGATGAGGATGAGGATGAGGATGAGGATGAGGATGACGACGTCGACGACGATGATGATGATGAGGTGGAGGAGGAGGCTGTTGCTGGTGATGACGATTATGAGGATGGTGGTGATGAGGATCATGATGATGGGGCTGCTGCTTGTGATGACGATTATTCCCCAAGCAGAGCTTGCCTCTGTAGGGGTCCTAGCGGATTCGCATGAGTAGGTGAGTTGGGCCGCCGATTTCGGTGGCCGGCCTGGGTGCCCGGGTGCCCGGGGGTGCCCGGGTTCTTGGTAGCCCAAAAGCCCTATGGCCCTATGGTTTTATAGCCTTATAGCACTGTAGCCGTATAGCCCGATAGCCCTATAGCCCTAATAACCTTATCGCCCTATGGCCCTAAAGCTCTAAAGCCCTATATCCCTATAGCCTTATAACCTTATAGCCCTATAGGCCTGTAGCCCTATGGCCCTGTAGCCCTATGGCCCTGTAGCCCTATAGCCCTTCAGCCCTATAGCCCCATAGCCCCTTAGCCCTATAGCCCTGTAGTCTGATAGCCCTATGGCCCTATAGCCCTATAGCCCTATAGCTCTATAGCCCTATAGCCTATGCCCCTATAGCCCTATAGCCCTATAGCCCTATAGCTCTATAGCTCTATAGCCCTATAGCCTATGCCCCTATAGCCCTATAGCCCCATAGTCCTGCAGCCCTGTAGTCTATCCCTGTAGCCCCATAGTCCCATAGCCTTGTAGCCCTGTAGCCCTATAGCCCCACAGCCCTATAGCCCTACACAAATTCTAATTGGGGCTTTTCTCCAGTATCACGTTGATGATGATGATGGTGGCGATGATGATGTTGTTGATGATGATGATGCTGGTGATAACGATGAGGATGATAACGACGATGACGCTGCTGCTGCGGCTACTGCTGCTTACGGGAATGATGATGCTCAGGAGGATTCTGAAGAGGACGGTGTTGATGTTGATGATGCTGCTGCTGATGCTGATGACAATGGTGATGATGATGATAATGATGATGATGATGACGATGATGACGATGATGACGATGATCATGATGCGGATGATGAGGCTGATGCTGGTGTTTCTGCTGCTGATGATAATGACGATGTCGATGACGATGACGACGACGATAGCAAAGAGGATGAGGACGATGATGGCAGTGATGACGGTGATGGTGGTGATGATGATGGTGTTGGTCATGATGATGATGATGATGATGATGATGATGATGATGATGATGATGATGATGATGATGATGATGATGATGTTGATGACGACGATGCTGATGATGATGATAATGCTGATGCTGATGATGCTGCTGATGCTGGTGCTGCTGATGATGCTGCTGATGCTGGTGCTGCTGATGATGCTAATAATGCTGATGCTGATGGTGGTGATGATGGTAAGGTGATGATGATCATGCTGATAGCATCATGATGATGATGTTGATGCTGATGGTGATGCTGATTCTGATAACGATGTTGCTGGTGCTGATGACGGTGATGATGCTGATGATGAAGATGATGATGATGCAGATTATGATATTGCTATTGGTGGTAATGACGACGACGTCGAGTATGCTGGTGATGATGTTGATGATGATTCTGATGGTGATGATGAGGATGATGGTGATGAATATGATGCCGCTGCTGATGATGATGTTGACGGTGGTGATGATGATGGTGATGATGATGCTGCTGATGATGATGATGAGGATGATGAGGAGGATGATGCTACGGATGATGATGACGAGGATGACGAGGAGGAGGAGGAGGAGGAGGAGGAGGAGGACATCATTATACGCATAACGAACCTGCGCATGAGCATGATGATGAGGAGGAACTGTATATTAGAGGGAACGGCGAGGAGTGACGAGTAAAGCAGGACGGGGTAGCTTGGAGTTCGACGGAGAGGGGTGAGGAGGAGGAGGAAGGGGAGGAGGAGGAGGTCGCGGCTGCGGAGGAGGAATGGGAAAAGGAGGAGCCACCGGGCCAGCGCAGCCATTCTCGCAAGCCCCGGGTTACCATGCCAGCAGGCCGAATCTACACTTGCTGTGCCAGAGTAGCATGGGAGGATGCAGAGACGCAGGCAGGCTGGTTTTTCTGGGTGGCCCGCCTTGTCCTGGCGCACGTCGAGCTGCTCTTGCAAGCGAATATGGCTTGCACTGAGGGGGTTCTTACTTTGGGCCCCTGAGCAATTGAGTGGGCCTTCTGGGTTTTCGCCCCGATGCCCGCCCGTTGGGCGCCTCGTGGGCGCCCCGTGCGCTGGCTGGGCCTTCGCACGGTGCCCGCCCATGGGCACTGTGGGGGCGCATCGTGCGCTGGCTTGGGCTTCCAGATCTTCGCCCCGTGCCCGCCCCGGCGCCTCGTGCGCTGGCTGGGTCTTCCGGGTTTTCGCGTTTTCCCTGCCCGTGGGCGCGTCGTGCGCTCCCCGTGCGCTGTCTCCGCATAAGATGGAGGCCGTTTGGAGGCCTCTTGGGTGCCGTTTGGGGGCCTCTTGAAGCCCTCTTGGGAGCCTCTTGGGGCCTCCTGGGGGCCTCTTGGGGGCCTCCTGGGCGCCTCTTGGAACCTGGGCGCCTCTCGGGGGCGGAAGGCTCGGATTGTCGGTCATTATTCCCTCTCGTGGCACCTTTGGGGGCCGTCTTGGGCGCGCCTTGGGCCGTCTTGGGGCGCTCTTAGGCCGTCATGGGGCCCCCTTTGCGCCCTTTTGGGCCGTTCTGGGGTGGTCTTGGAAACTTCTTGGGCTGTCTTGGAGCGTCGGAAAGCCGAAGTGGCGAGGACGCCAAACCCCTTCAAACATTTAAAGAACAACAATGGTTTTGTCTCTGGGGAGGCCTCTTGGAGGCCTCTTGGGGCGTCTTGGAGGCCGCTTGGGCCGTCTTGAGGCTATCTTGGGCGCCTTGGAGCGGTCTTTCGGCGACTCGAGGCTCTCTTGGACCGTCTTGGGAGTCTCGTGGGGCCCTCTTGGCCCGTCTTCGTGCCCCCTTGGGCCCGAAAAAGTAATGCGACGGGTCCCAAGGGAACTGCGGGAAGCCCTCACAAGTTTGTGGATTTGGAGTCGGGACCCTTAAGCGACTCCCCAGGGCACGCTGGCAGAATATACAACACACATCGTATTACGTGGGCTCCATCGCGCGCCCTCGCGCCCATGTGTCAACATCATTCCAAACGCATCGGCGTCTGACAATCTCAAGATATATCTGTCCAACAACTGTCAAAAACAAGTGAGTCCTTTGAGAGAAGAGTTGCCGCGTGTCTGCGCGCACGCAGTCGCTGAGACCACACGAATCGTTGGCCACTCTGTCAGACGAGACCATGCGGGACACACGTCCGCGCATACCGAACACAGCCAACAACCATCGTGCACCCGCCAATTCCTGGCAAATAATGTCATGCGGGCGCACGTCGAGATCCTGCCAACACCTTTGCCAGTCTGAAAAATCAATGCGGATGTGTTCAAAGACAGTCCCAAACAGTGCTTGCACTTGGGGATTCTTCCTTATCTTCTGAGGTATCTGGGCCCCGGTGTCGGTCCGGCCGGCTTGTGACCGCCCGTCGCCGCCGTCCGTCGACGCCATTTGCACTGAGCCCCGGTGTCGGTCTCGCCGGCGTGTGGCCGCCCGTCGCCGCCAGTCGCCGCCGTCTGTCGCGCCGCAACCGTGTCCTCGGATGGGCTTTCAGGTGTTCTGCATTGCGTTGCTTTGCATTTCTTCGCAATGCTTTGCAATGCGTTGCATTGCTCTACAATGCTTTACATTGGTTTGCATTGCTTTGCATCGATCTGTATTCCTTTGCATTGCTTTTCAGGCATTTGGATTGCTTCGCAAGAAATCATTGTTTGGGGTTCACTCTGGCCCAAGAATGTTCGTACGAGAGCCCAATTGTTTCAATAAGGTCTGTTCCAAGAATTCAGAGTCTCTGCGCGCACACTACCTCATAATTCTCAGCAGCACCACCGATATGACCATCGTAAGCGTCGTCGTTGCCATCTTCGTGGTCATCATCACCACTGCCGTCGCCACCGTCGATATCGGCCTCGGTCGCCGATGTCGTAGTCACCATCATCACTCGCCCGCCCGAGTCATAGGTCTGCGCGTCACTGCGTTACTTGGGATTCGCGAGCAAGTTTGAATTGGCTGCTGCACTCGCAACCTGTACCAACAAGACGACGGTGGTTATGATACAGGTTGTGGTGGTGATGTTGATGATGGCGCTCATTTACATGATGGTAATCGTGATGGTGGTGGTGATAGTGATGATGATGGTGATGGCGAGTATGGTGATGATGGTGATGATGGTGATGATGCTAATGATGCTCACGATTATGGTGATGATGTGATGATGGTGACGATGTCGATGATGATGGTGATCTGATGATACTGATGATACTGATGATGATGATGGTGATCAGGATGATGATGGTGATGATGATGATGATGATGATGATTGTGATGACTGTGATGATGGTGATCATGAATATGATGATTAATGATTGTTGATGGTGATGATGATGTTAATGATGATGCTGCTGATGGTGATGCCGATGACGACGACGATACTGATGATGATGGGTGATGATGATAACGATGACTGTGACTATGACGATTGTAATTATGATGCTGATGATGCTGTTGTTGATGATGATGCTGATGATGGATGAGGTGAGGATCAGCATCATGATCAGGATAAGAAGGATGCTACAATTGTTGAGTATGATGATGGTGATGCTGATAACGAAGACGATGAGCATGACGAATACGATGTCGGTTACGGTGGTGTGATGAGGATGATGATGAGGATGAGGATGAGGATGAGGATGATGAGGATGAGGATGAGGATGTGAGGATGAGGATGACGACGACGAAGATAATGATGACGACGACGAGGAGGAGGAGGATGTTGATGTTGATGATGATGCTGATGCTGATGTTGATGTTGTTGTTGATTGGGGCCAGGGCAGGCGACGGCGGACCAGGGCGCCCAGCACTGCTGGCACCTGCTCTCGCAGCTGGAGGGTGTCGAGGGCCCGGTGCCGCTGCAGCGGAGATGGAAGGGCGAGGCGGGGGGCTCTCCCGCTGGCGCCCGCCTGGCCTGCTGTGAGCGAGGGACGGGGGCGGCGCCCCCACCCGTCGTCCCGTTCTCGGGCTCGAGGAGGGCCGAGGGGAACGAGGCGTCCCAGCTGGCCTCAATCCTGGCCGCCCAAATGGGGTCGAAGCAGATGGGGTCGGAGGATCGCGCCGCATCGCCGATGAATCGCCAATGCGGCCCGATGTGGAGCCCGACTTTCTCCATGCCCCCGAGGAGTCCAAGGGGGTCTCGATCCCCCAGCCCTGGGGCGCGGAGCGTCCCAGGGGCGCCGCTGGAGGCGGCGCCGTGGAGTTGAGACCGGCCCGGACTGCTCGCAGGCTTGTTGAGGCCAGCCAGGGACTACCTGGGGGGGCTGTCTGTGCGCAAGTGGAAGCCTGACCAAGTCTGCTAACCCTTCCCCTCTCCTGTTCCCTTCGGGGCGGACGAAGGTGGGTATTGGGAAGGAGGGGAGGGGAGCGAAATCTGCTGCGTGCAGCTGGTCTCGGCCTCTCCGCCGGGCGCTTTCCTGGCTACACTGGCGCATCCCAGCGCTGGGAGGCGGCGGGAAACCAGCTGCATGCATGGCAGGTTCGCGCCGTGTCAACCCAGCGGCTTCTCCAGCGCGGGCGTTCAGTATTGAATGCCGCTGGTGGCCCAGAATCCCCCGACATCGAAAGATCCGCGCCATCGGAGAGCCGCGATCGCTCAAGCTCAAGCTTTACGATGCATGCGGTATCAGAAACCAGCGCGCATGCCGTAGCTAAGTCGCTAACCCCCAGGGTCTATGTCGGTCTTGTCGATCGGGTTCTATATCCATTGTGCAAGGTTCGATTCGTTTCGATTCCGATCTTATCCCGACGATCCGAGGCGACCCAATGCCTGCATGGCGCTGTTGTTCATCCTGGCGTGGCCGATCCGATTCGATCTCGACTCCGTGAAAGTGCGCTCCGATCCGACGCACAGTTCGATCCGATCCGATTTCCCAAATCGATGCTGACTGATCCTGGCTTTCGCCCTTCCTTCCCTCTCCTATCCGACCCCCCCCCAGGGGCCCTCGATCGCCCTGCCTTCCTGCTTTCAATCCCTCTCTTAACAATCGCCCCCCCGTATCCTCTGATCGCCTTCCGATCGTCCTCCCCCTTATCCGATCGCCCCTCCTATCAACATGCCTTTCCCCCACCCCCCGTCCCCTCCTATTGCTCTCCTGTCGCCTCGATCGCCCAGGCCCCTTGCCCCTCCTGTCCGATCGCCGATCGCCCTGCGTCCCCCCCTCCTGTCTCGAACCGATGTTCTTCCCCCTCCTTCCGCCCGACCCCCGATCCCTCCCATCCGATTCCCCCTCCTAGGGGCTCCATCGCCAATGCGCCAGCGCCCCTCGCCTCGCAGGTGTCCGCCCTCAGGGCGCAGATGTCCAGGTTCAAGAAGAAGAGCGAAGACTCGACCGCGTCAGTAGTGCGGGGGAGGCAGGGACTGGGGCATGAGGGGGGAGGGAGGAGGGAGGAGGAGGGAGGAGGAGGGGGAGGAGGAGGAGGAGGAGGAGGAGAGGAAAGGGGGGACGGGATGAACGGAGGAGGGGAGGAGGAGGAGCAGGAGGAGGAGGAGGAAGTCATACCTGGGGGAGAGGCATCAATACTGGCCTGGGCAAGTATAGAGATGACACACATCAAGAGTACAACGTGAGACATCCCAGACACGCCTTCTCAGTCAGACATCCAGTGACACAGCCATCCAGAACTACGATCTTCCCTACACCAGCACATGCAGTACACAGCACTGCGCAGCATTGTCTCTTTGAGTACATCGACTACAGTCACTGCAGCAAGACAGCCTCACACCCCGCATCGAAGCCCAGAGGGGCATACCTGGGGGAGAGGCGTTGAACTGGAGCCGTGGCCCAGAGAACGCCTTACAATTGACACAGGAAACAATGTTCCAAACACCTTCCTCCGGAAGATTTCTGGGGGGGTTCTTCAAAGTGCATTCCAAACACCTTGGTTCCTCTGGAATGTTGTTGGACTGTTTCTCGAATTTGCCTGACAAAAGGACCCGACCATCTGCAGTTGTGAGTGCCGCAATTATGGGTACCCTCTTCGGTGACGCTCCCTATGGGGCCACGAACCCCGTGAGGCGTGTGCCGAATTGGGTGTGGCTGACGCATGCAGGCGGTGGCACTGGGGCCTTCGGTGGAGCTCCCTATAGGGCCACGAAACGTGTGAGGGGTGTGCCGAATTGGGTGTGGCTGACGCATGCGGGCACTGGGGCCTTCGGTGGAGCTCCCGATGGGGCCACCAAACGTGTGCGGGCTGTGCCGAAGTGGGTGTGGCTGACGCACGCCCGCGGTGGCACTGGGGCCTTCGGTGTAGCTCCCTATAGGGCCACGCAACGTGTGAGGGGTGTGCCGAATTGGGTGTGGCTGACGCATGAGGGCGGTGGCAATGGGGCCTTCGGTGGAGCTCCCGATGGGGCCACCAAACGTGTGCGGGCTGTGCCGAAGTGGGTGTGGCTGACGCACGCCCGCGGTGGCACTGGGGCCTTCGGTGGAGCTCCCTATAGGGCCACGAAACGTGTGAGGGGTGTGCCGAATTGGGTGTGGCTGACGCAAACTTCGGTGGAGCTCCCTATAGGGCCACGAAACGTGTGAGGGGTGTGCCGAATTGGGTGTGGCTGACGCATGCGGGCGGTGGCACTGAGGCCCTTGGTGGAGCTCCCGATGGGGCCACCAAACGTGTGCGGGGTGTGCCGAATTGGGTGTGGCTGACGCACGCCCGCGGTGGCACTGGGGCCTTCGGTGGAGCTCCCTATAGGGCCACGAAACGTGTGAGGGGTGTGCCGAATTGGGTGTGGCTGACGCATGAGGGCGGTGGCAATGGGGCCCTTGGTGGACCTCCCGATGGGGCCACGAAAAGTGTGAGGGGTGTGCCGACAGTGGTGTGGCTGACGCATGAGGGCGGTGGCACTGGGGCCTTCGGTGGAGCTCCCTATAGGGCCACGAAGCGTGTGAGGGGTGTGCCGAATTGGGTGTGGCTGACGCATGCGGGCGGTGGCACTGGGGCCCTTGGTGGACCTCCCGATGGAGCGCCGAATTGGGTGTGGCTGACGCATGAGGGCGGTGGCACTGGGGCCTTCGGTGGAGCTCCTTATAGGGCCACGAAACGTGTGAGGGTTGTGCCTAATTGGGTGTGGCTGACGCATGCGGGCGGTGGCATTGGGGCCTTCGGTGGAGCTCCCGATGGGGCCACGAAAAGTGTGAGGGGTGTGCCGACAGTGGTGTGGCTGACGCACGCGGGCGGTGGCACTGGGGCCTTCGGTGGAGCTCCCTATAGGTCAACGAAGCGTGTGAGGGGTGTGCCGAATTGGGTGTGGCTGCATGCGGGAGGCCTTCGGTGGAGCCCCCTATGGGGCCACGAAACGTTGAGGGGTGTGCCGAATTGGGTGTGGCTGACGCATGCGGGCGGCAGCACTGGGGCCTTCGGTGGAGCTCCAGATGGGGCCACGAAAAGTGTGAGGGGTGTGCCGGTGGTGGCTGACGCATGAGGGCGGTGACACTGGGGCCTTCGGTGGAGCTCCCTATAGGGCCACGAAACGTGTGAGGGGTGTGCCGAATTGGGTGTGGCTGACGCATGCGGGCGGTGGCACTGGTGCCCTTGGTGGAGCTCCCGATGGGGCCACCAAACGTGTGCGGGGTGTGCCGACAGTGGTGTGGCTGACGCATGGGGGCGGTGGCACTGGGGCCTTCGGTGGAGCTCCCTATAGGGCCACGAAACGTGTGAGGGGTGTGCCGAATTGGGTGTGGCTGACGCATGAGGGCGGTGGCATTGGGGCCCTTGGTTGACCTCCCGATGGGGCCACGAAAAGTGTGAGGGGTGTGCCGACAGTGGTGTGGCTGACGCATGCGGGCGGTGGCATTGGGGCCTTCGGTGGAGCTCCCTATAGGGCCACGAAACGTGTGAGGGGTGTGCCGAATTGGGTGTGGCTGACGCATGCGGGCGGTGGCACTGGTGCCCTTGATGGACCTCCCGATGGGGCCACGAAAAGTGTGAGGGGTGTGCCGACAGTGGTGTGGCTGACGCATGAGGGCGGTGGCACTGGGGCCTTCGGTGGAGCTTCCTATAGGGCCACGAAACGTGTGAGGGGTGTGCCGAATTGGGTGTGGCTGACGCATGCGGGCGGTGGCACTGGTGCCCTTCGGTGGAGCTCCCATGGGGCCACGAAACGGGTGAGGGGTGTGCCAAATTGGGTGTGGCTGACGCATGAGGGCGGTGGCACTGGGGCCTTCGGTGGAGCTCCCTATAGGGCCACGAAGCGTGTGAGGGGTGTGTCGAATTGGGTGTGGCTGACGCGTGCGGGCGGTGGCACTGGTGCCCTTGATGGACCTCCCGATGGGGCCACGAAGAGTGTGAGGGGTGTGTCGACAGTGGTGTGGCTGACGCATGAGGGCGGTGGCATTGGGGCCTTCGGTGGAGCTCCCTATAGGGCCACGAAACGTGTGAGGGGTGTGCCGAATTGGGTGTGGCTGACGCATGCGGGCGGTGGCACTGGTGCCCTTGGTGGAGCTCCCGATGGGGCCACGAAAAGTGTAGGGGTGTGCCGGCAGTGGTGTGGCTGACGCATGCGGGCGGTGGCACTGGGGCCTTCGGTGGAGCTCCCGATGGGGCCACGAAACGTGTGAGGGGTCTGCCGAATTGGGTGTGGTTGACGCACGCGGGCGGTGGCACTGGGGCCCTTGGTGGAGCTCCCGATGGGGCCACGAAACGTGTGAGGGGTGTGCCGACAGTGGTGTGGCTGACGCATGCGGGCGGTGGCACTGGGGCCTTCGGTGGAGCTCCCTATTGGGCCACGAAACGTGTGAGGGGTGTGCCGAATTGGGTGTGGTTGACGTATGCGGGCGGCAGCACTGGGGCCTTCGGTGGAGCTCCCATGGGGCCACGAACCGTGTGAGGTGTGTGCCGAATTGGGTGTGGCTGACGCATGCGTGCGGTGGCACTGGTGCCTTCGGTGGAGCTCCCGATGGGACCATGAAACGTGTGAGGGGTGTGCCGAATTGGGTGTGGCTGACGCACGCGGGCGGTGGCACTGGTGCCTTCGGTGGAGCTCCTTATGGGGCCACGTAACGTGTGAGGGGTGTGCGGAATTGTGTGTGGCTGACGCATGCGGGCGGTGGCACTGGGGCCTTCGGTGGAGCTCCCGATGGGGCCACGAAACGTGTGCGGGCTGTGCCGAATTGGGTGTGGCTGACGCACGCCCGCGGTGGCACTGGGGCCTTCGGTGGAGCTCCCTATAGGGCTACGAAACGTGTGAGGGGTGTGCCGAATTGGGTGTGGCTGACGCATGCGGGCGGTGGCACTGGTGCCTTCGGTGGAGCTCCCGATGGGGCCACGAAAAGTGTGAGGGGTGTGCCGACAGTGGTGTGGCTGACGCATGATGGCGGTGGCACTGGGGCCTTCGGTGGAGCTCCCTATAGGGCCACGAAACGTGTGAGGAGTGTGCCGAATTGGGTGTGGCTGACGCATGCGGGCGGTGGCACTGGGGCCCTTGATGAACCTCCCGATGGGGCCACGAACAGTGTGAGGGGTGTGCCGACAGTGGTGTGGCTGACGCATGAGGGCGGTGGCACTGGGGCCTTCGGTGGAGCTCCCTATAGGGCCACGAAACGTGTGAGGCGGGCGGTGGCACTGGGGCCTTCGGTGGAGCTCCCGATGGGGCCACGAAATGTTTGAGGGGTGTGCCGACAGTGGTGTGGCTGACGCATGCGGGCGGTGGCATTGGGGCCTTCGGTGGAGCTCCCGATGGGGCCACGAAACGTGTGAGGGCTGTGCCGAATTGGGTGTGGTTGACGCACGCGGGCGGTGGCACTGGGGCCTTCGGTGGAGCTCCTTATGGGGCCACGTAACGTGTGAGGGGTGTGCGGAATTGTGTGTGGCTGACGCATGCGGGCGGTGGCATTGGGGCCTTCGGTGGAGCTCCCTGTGGGGCTATGAACCGTGTGCAGGGTATGCCGAATTGGGTGTGGCTACGCATGCGGGCGGTGGCACGGGGGCCTTCGGTGGAGCTCCCGAGATTGGGTGTGGTTGACGCATGCGGGCGGCGGCACTGGGGCCTTCGGTGGAGCTCTCTATGGGCAGCACGACAGGATGGTTGGGGAAAAAAACTATTCGAATATCTTCTTCCTCAGGAAGGTTATTTGAGGATTTCTGCGAGAGAGAGAGAGAGAGAGCGTTCACCAAAACAGCCTCCAGTAAGGTTGTTGACGGGTTTCTTCAGACAACATTTCAAAAACCGACTCGAACCTTGTTGCTTCGAGAAACCAACATATAAACATCCCCTAGAGGTTTTGGGAGGGCTTCTAAAACGCAGCTTCCAACAACCTTCCCCAGACAGGTTGTTTTCCGAGGGCTTCTTCCATGCCGCCTTCCAACATCGTATGTCGGGAACGC